GTGCAGAAGGCAGGAGCCTCTGAGAGATGTCCTCACAAGCAACTCGCAGACCCCGCAGGCATTTGTAAGAAATACACTCAAACAACCAGGCAAGTCACCCTTCACGGATTGCTGGAGCATAAGGGGAGACCAGCTGTCCCAGGGAGGTGCCCAACTCTGCCTCCAAAGGAGAATCCACCAGAAGCTGGGGATGCTCCTTGTTGGGAGGGAAGCTGAAGAAGAGACCATCTCCATCCAGCCCCGCCTCAGGGTAAAATACCCAAACTAGTTCACAGTGAGTTTCCATTACAAAGAGATTTCAAACTATTGAGAAGGCCTATGCATTGTTCTTTTTTGTTTATTCATTTATTTTTGATTCCTGAAAGCTTCACCCTAACTAAGCAAGTAACACTTACCAGCTTAGACTTAATCTCTACTAAGAAAAACTCCAATTAGGGCAAAGGGCGCAGCAAGCTGTTATCAGTAGGCTAATCAATGGAAGGAGATTGCGATCAGGCCAAGTGCCTTCATTTTCCCTGGTTCAAAAAAAAAATTGTTTTCTCACTGACACAGAGTGTGGGCACGTGCAGGTCTCGACAGGATGAAACCCAGAGAGAAGGTCACCTTGTCTCTTCTCTCAGCAGAAAGGGCTGCGCCAGCAGCAAACACCTTGACCAGCTGCTTCTCTAGCAGTTAGTTCCCTCTGGTTTAGCAGCCAAACCTGGACTGTTGTCAGTCAACCACGATCTTCCCAAGAACTAAGTCTCAAGCTCTTCAGAAACACTCATCACTTCAACGCAAGCTGACGGGATCACAAATCACGGTCACAAAGGGCCATCCAAGTGCAGGGACCGACTGCCAGGTATCCCATTAAGATATTTAGGACCTCGGGAAGGCCAGGACTAGTTAAGTCATGCTTTCCCTAGGCTAGAGAATAAATCCTGAAACTTTCAAAATCCTCAACCTGGAGGCATTTCAAAAAACTAGCATTCGAAACCCTAACTTTCTGCCCAGAGAAGGTCTGCTTCACTAAAGGGCAGGTGGAGCAGCATTATTTCCTGGCAGCCAGCTCGTGGTGACGTCACGGGCTTGTTCCACTCAGGGAAAGGTCTAGTACTGGTAAAGTGTGAGGTCATCAGAGCTAGTCAGCTGCTAAAATATGACCGGAGAATGCCCTTCACATCTGCAACAGAAGAGCTTGACTTAAAAGCAGGGAAAAGTCAGCGCAATCAAATCAGCCCATTACAGGGGTTTTCAACACAGATGCAACAGGATGTCTCTAGATGCTGTGTTTTATAAAGGGCCTTTCGGTCACTAAGTTTGGAAAACCCTGGGAAAGGACAAAATTAAACAGATGTTTCGGTGAAGAACTTCTCAGAGCTGTGGGAGAGTCGTAGACACTGCAGGCCTCCGAGAAAGAGTGGCAGGTGGAAGGTATTTTCTACATTCATTTCAAAACATGGCTCAGTTTTGGCAGACAGTTACTGGATGAGGGTTCCCAGAGAGAGTCTTTGGGAAACACAGGTTTATTTTCTGCATAGACTGGCCACAATGCTCACGATTCACGCTGTGAATCAAGTCCACGCGGAAGGACTATAACTGCCCAAAACACAGCGTTCGCCACCCAGGCAAGTCCCAGCCCTGCAGAGCAAAGGGGGCCGGGATGCTCCGGACGGCGAGTGACAGGACAGGAGCAGGTGCGCCTGCATGAGACGGCGAGCCCTCCGAGGAGGCCCACTTTGGAGCTGGGTCCTGTCTGAAGAGGTAAGAAGGAAAACCAGCCTGAAGATGGCAGACCATTGCATCAAAGTTAAATCAGAGCCTTGTGAGCAAACACCAGCTCCATGTGCAAACTGCTACGATCCTGCCTTCATCTTTGAACTGCTCTTTCTGCCCTCGGGCCTGGCCACCGAGCTTTGTGTGGTGTGAAGAGAAAGTAAGAAGAATCCTACCAGTGGCCTTCTTAGTTAACCACCAAAAGTGGATCAACCAGCAGAGGGAATGAACCCCCATATATCGTTCAAGCCAGAAGACAGATGGCATCTTCCAACCCGAGCAGAGCAACCACTTTCCCAGAAGTGCCTCCTTCAGCACCCGGTCCCTGGACCATCACCTGCCAATTCCACTAAAGGGGAAACACCCCCACGGTGTTTCCAGAGGATGAGAAGGCACTCAAGGAATTCACCTGGAGCCATCAGTGTTTCCCGGGGGGCTGAACATGCAAAGAATTTGATGCTTCTGCGATTTTCCCTACTCATCAGGTCAGGCACTTGATGCCTGAGGCGGCAAAAAGAGCGTTTTGATGGTGAGACCCCCTTCCCCACCTTGCTAGCTCTTCGGCCATGGCATCCCTCTGCCACACGGGCCACAGCTGCTTAATCTCAGCCGTCCCAGGCTGCACCTGTGAATGAGACCCACCTAATCACACTAGCAGATGGCAGGGGCCGAGGAGCCAGCTAAGAGCGGCTATCGCTGTAAATCGGGTCTCAGGTTTCACAGGCACCAACAGAGGCAGTGTCCGAGAGCGGTATCTCCCTGGGACAGCTAACACCAGGCCTTAATCACCGCAGGCACCCAGCTCGGGGCAGAGCGGCTGTCATTCGAGAGCTCATTACAAAGAACGCCGGGTGCAAGGGGAAGGCATGGCCAGACACCGCGGGCCGCCTCTGCTGACGGCACGTCCACTCCCGGACCCCTCAATCCACATGGGTGCTGGGCAGAGGGGGCTACAGTTTGGGACGAAACCCTGCAGGTCACTCAGGCTACTTGTTATGAAACATGTGCTGCTGTTCCTGTGTGTTCATGGTACCGGGATGGGGGTTGCTGGTCCCCATTTCCAGGCCAACCCATTCCCACGCATGCCCTGAACTGTGCTGTGAGAATCTGAGGTCCAGTCAACAGCAACAGCCCCCCCGGGTGGGTTTCACTTATTGCAATGCACGGTACCGGCTTCTCTCTCACCCCACCATCACCCCGGGAACTGGCGGAGGGAAGCTGAGATTCGGCGTGTAACTGGCCGACGCTGGATTGAAGGTCGCCTTTTGCGCACTGACAGAACCACAGATTTCCAGCCAATGAAAAGAAGTAACTCGTCTGTCCAGCTGACAGTGGGGTGGGGAATGGACTGAGACGGCAGCCAGCACAGGGCCTGCCCAGAGGCCTTCAAGGACTCTGAGGGTCAGTCGCTGCCTCCCCTGCTAGAACCGAAGCAGCAGCGAGAAGGGGGTGGTGTCGTCCGGCACCAGTGTCCCGTTACTCAGTCACGGCAGCGACCTCACAGAAGGCTCATACCCCCCCACACACACACGCTCAGTTTCCACCCACTGCTGTGGACACCACCTTTCCCAGTCAACTCCTGTTCAGGTTGTGTGACAGCAAGTTCTTGATCTCCGTGTGAATGCCCTGGCCAGTGTGTCCTCCAACGCCAGGTGCTTCTCATTTGCGGGTGTAGGGTGGCGACTGAGAATTTTCATTTCTCGGGTGACGGTGAGGCAAGTGGTCCAGGCCTCAAGATTTCTCTTGCCCAAATGTTTCCCTCCCAATGTTTCCCTTTTTGCCCAGGCTGCTAGGAGACTCAGGGATGCATCCAGCTCCCCACTTAAGCAGTTTATTATCCCAGATGCCGAACATTAATTTTCTCTTCGTCCTCAAAAAAGCCCTGGGCCTATTTTATAAATATTATTTAGGCTTTGTTGAAATCTATTAAGCTGACTAAAATCCTATTATGAAAATGTAGAACAGAATCCCCACGCAAAGAATACCAGCAACCCAGGCAAAATCGCTTTGGGGACTACCATGAGAAAAAACCATGCACACTTATTACATCTCCTTTCTTGGACAACAGAGCGTGAGCTCATCTAATCCTGGAGCTCCATCAGCCATGGTCGTCATCCACCTTTTACTGCTGAAGAAACTGAGGCAGTTAAATCATTTGTCCCAAGTCCCCCCACCCAGAAATGGGAGGGCAGGGTTCAGCCCCAGGTCTCCCAGCTCCTAAGTCCAAGTTCGTACTCAGCAAGTTCATGGGACACTCAGCATTCACTGCCTTTAAAAGAGCAAGTGGGGTGGGGGGTTGCCTAGTGGAGCAACAGGTTAAAGTGCAGCACAGATTTGATCTCCAGGAGCTATCCGCAGCCACTGCAGCATGAGTTCAATCCTCACCAGGGAGCTGACCCACAGGGCACAGCAGGCCCCTCCTGTCTTCCTGCTGCTCCCTCAATCCACCTTTTCTGCTCCCCATTCTGTCTCTGGTGAATCCTCTCACCCCCTCCTGCCTTGCACCTCTGGCCTACACCCCAGCTCTTATATGCATAAATAAATAACTTCTTTTTTTTTTTAAAAAAATGCAAACCGCCCTCACCAACTTCTCACACAGGAAGGTGCAGTAAAGTGCACCCTTCTTCCCCTCGGACCCACTCAGCAAGGTGTCCAGAGGCCGGGGGGAGGGGAGAGGATTCACCAGAGACAGAGTGGGGAGCAGAACAGGCGGACTGGGGGAGCAGTGGGCAAGACAGGAGAGGTCTGCTGTGCCCTGTGGGTCAGCTCCCTGCTTGGGGATGGACACAGCACTGCTGGCCTTGGGGCCTTGCTGCGGGGATGTCCTCACAGGCGGCAAGTCCACCAGCAGCATCCCTGGTGTCCACCCGCTGGATGCCACCAGCCTCCCACGCCCCTTACAGAGACACCAAACACTGCTCGTGCCTCTGGGGGAGCAGGAGAATCACCCCGGCTGAGAGCCCCCCACCAGCCCCAGCAGTGCAAGGCCTCCCCAACGCTGATATCCTCCCCGACGGAGCGAAACAACCAAAGGAAGAAAGCAAGGAAAAGAGTCACAAGAGTGGTCACTGACACGAGAAGAAGAGACCAACAGGAGAGACGGGTGGACAGGGACACTGGTTTATTCTCAGACTGAGTCCGGAGAGGAGACCGGGCCAGCGCGAGGCCGCGGGGTCCGGCCGGGCCACGCCGGACGGCGGCAGCAGGCGCGTCTGAGGCTCCGGGCCGCGGGCGGCCGTACTTACGCTTGTTACTGCTCTCGCTGACGAAATCCTCGGAGCCATCACTGTCGTCCTCATCATCTCCGGACGAGATGGCATCTGTATTCAAAAGAACACACCCATGTGTTTTTGCCAAGCGGAAGGTCGCACGCAATCTTCTAGGGCTCAGTCCTCCTGGAGACGGGTTTCCACCGCCCTGGGGCCCCCACACGTCGGAGACCCCGTTTAGTGAAGGCGGCTTCCACGGCTTCAACTTGCACGCCATGAGGTCAGCTCAGCTGCCATCATTCTAAGGTCTTCTGCTTTCACACGATTTAAACACGCTATAAAATCGGAGACTGAAGCTGGATTTTAAACTCCAGTGGTACTCAGGTGCCAAACAGATTCACTGACTGTAAGATCCAAAGAGGCTTCCCGATACGACCTCTCCGCATTCGGGGCCCGTAAAGGCAGGACTCAGTCCCTGATGAAACTGTGCCTGTGTGTGGCTGGCTGGAAGCCTGTTTGCTAACTTTCTGAGAGCAAAACTTGAAGCTGGGTCTCAAAGGCGCCTGTTCAGCACCTCCCGCTTCAAACGGGGTGGAAGAAAAATCAAGCCGAGGAGCCCAAGTTGGAATAAAAAGGCATCAGAAAGCTCAACCACAAATTCTAAATGCCAAGGAGGCTGGTGGTACAGGAAGAAAAACAAGTGTTTCTGCTTCATTCAAAGGGCACTGCTGGGCCCCCCCTGTGCCCAGGGGGTGAATCTCAGTGTTATCACCACTGCGGCACGCAGCACGAGGTCGATCCCCGGCCAGCGAGTGACCCACAGGGCTCAGCAGGCCTCTCCTGTCTCCCCGCTGCTCCCCTCAGCAGTGGATTTCAGTGGATCTGTCTATTCTGCCCCCCACTCTTGTCTCTGGGGAGTCCTCTCACCCCCACTCTTCTGGCCTGCACCCCAGTTCTTCTATGCATAAATAAATAAATCTTTACCCAAGTAAAATGTGCTGTCATGGAATAGGAGAAACTCGTGCAGGACAGTCCTCTCTGGTACACGGAGCCTGCACAAGAACTTCCAATACTGGTCAATGACCAACTGCAAGCTCTGTGCATGGCAACCCATCAGTGGACCCCCCTGGGACTCCCCTCATCCCATCAAACCTCACCCAGAAACAGCTATGGAGGAAGCAGAGGACGCAGGCCGACTCACCTGTGACATTCACCGTGAAGTAGACAGTCTCACTGTCTAGAGTCCTAGCGGCAGTGCAAGCATAGAGGCCGGAGTCTCTAGGCGTGGCACCTTTTATCTGCAAGTATTCCCCAATAAGCACTGTCCTATTGCTGGGCCCCAAGTGCACCCCATCTTTAGTCCAACTGATCGGGGTGGCATCTCTCAAAAGGCAGCGCAACTCTAGCGACTCCCCCAGGGCGGCCACGTACACTTCTGGTTGGGAGATTTGGTATTTGCTTGGTGGCTCTGCAGAAAGGTGGGAGAGAGAAGACGGAGACAGATGGGAAAGAGGAAGGGAGAGAAGGCCCAACAAACGTCCGTGGAGCCCCCGATTCCCAGCAGAGGCAGTTCTTGTTTTGCACATGGCCCCAGCAGGTGGCCACTCTCTCCTCGCCCCAGGAGAGGCCACAGGCACAGAGCAGGTGAGCCAGGAAGCACCCGCTGGAGGAAGCACCCCGTGAGAGCTGCCACATTCAGTCTCCACAGTCCGCAAACCCAGCGTGAAAGCAAGTGGTACCCAAAGCCGTCAAGTCCATTGCCAATCCAAAGCCTGCCTGCGGCCGTTAACAGCAGGAAACTGCAACACCTGGGGTGTGTACTTGTGAGCACAGCCGTGTGTTCGCATGCACACACGTGCACACATGCACACACCTATTTCTCCGTGCAAGACACGGAGCAGAGTTTGCAAAAATGATGCATCTCCAGCTCGGGAAGGGGACGGCCATGGAGGGCTCTGGAAACGGAACTCTGCACTGGGTGGCTTGGAACATACTTATTTCTTAGACTCTTAAAAGCCTTGCTGGCCTAACCACCCAGGGAAGAGTAAAGTGAGGCAGACAGCCAAGAGGCGGTGTCTACCGTCTACTGTGCTGAAACGAGTCTCGAGCCCGAGCCACTGGCACCTCATGCAGGACCCATGAAAGGCCACGGACCCCACTCTGCCCCCAGCTCTGCCCACAGCCTGGGTTCCGGCCTTCTCTGGCCTCCGCCTGGCCCCGTTAGGCCACCCCTTCCATCCTGTTAAACTAATTCATCCTTCAGGCTCCTGACAGAGCAGTAACCTCTGGTGGCACAGGACAGCGGTCCCCTGGCCAGCGGAACCGCAGGCCTCCTCCTCGTCCGTCCACCCATTTCACCACGTGTTTGACAGACTTGTCCTGTGTCCTGAGGAGACCGCAAGGTCCCAGCGGGAGGCTGACATCCCCTCCCCCTCCTCCTCACTCAGGAAACTGGCCCATGTTGAACATGATCACAGGCCCCCACGGCGACCCCAAGAGGACCCATCCCACAGGACCCCTCCACACACCAGCCAGAGCCGAGCCACAGGCTGGGACCCACATGGGGCCGCAAGTGGCCGTCCCCGCCTCACAGACAGCTGTGGGCAGTACCCGGAGTCCCGGACTTAGGACGGCCCCAGACCTGGAAGCTCCATGAAGCCGTTGTTTGCTCTTTTGAGTGTGGTCTGGACACATCTCCACAGAACACCGGAATGAAGCGGCTTTGCGAGTCAGCCCCACTGCTGAAGGGTCAGTGAGAGTGTCGCCTCCTCCTGGCGCCCACGAGGGCCAGGGCTCCCCCAGCGGCACCTCCAAGTCAGGCAGCACGTGGACACAGTGACCAGCAGAGGAAGCAGACAGAAGTCAAAGTGAGTGTGCACAAGAGGTCTCAGACAGGCCAGGCGGGCCACACCCAAATGTCTTCTCCTTCAACCATTACTGGCTGGACCCATCCATGGCCCAGACTTTAGTCTGGATGCTTGAGCCACAGGGACAAAGAAAGGCCCTGCACTTACAGGATTTTAGTTACCTC